ATGATTTTGGGGGCTATTGCGAAAAATCTTTTATTTTCGGCGGCTCGTCGGTGTTCTTTCACAATTCAGTCGACATGGCTCAGCTCTCCATCTCTATCCCAATCCCAATCCCCACCTGTCTGTGCAGATCTTGCTGGTTGGCAATAACAGGCTGACAAGAAATCAATGAGCATAAATAAGATTAGAGCGGAACTGACGGGCTCTTAATACTGGGCACTAAATAGCAGTTTAATTGGCACCCACGGCGGCAACAATGGCTCGGATTAGGCCCAATTGCCTGGTACTGCACCAGGAGTTCTCTGCCAGAGAAGGCTGGCCCACCATTGGCACATCGCATAATTGTGGGCATGATGAGGCAAAACTTCAGCTACCTCAACAAGAGGAACCAATTGGGAAATCTCCACAACATCTGCTTTTAACCCTTACAAAAATATTTGAACAGAAAATGCTTGAAGATTTCAGATAAATCTGTTTCTTTTAAGAATTACTTTTTAAAGAAGAAAGTATATGCAGTTCATAGATCTTCTCTCTTACTTTCCCACCTTTACACTTGTCTTATTAATTGATAATCCAACTTAATCGCATTGTTTTTCGTAGCAGAAACAATAAGATGGTAACAATTACAACAGCGGGATCAATTAGTTGAACCTAAACTGGAGTTGCATAAGTGCCAGCTTACTTAATTAAAGTATCCAAATAAGTTCGAACGGTTGCGACTGTTTGGGAGCCCCTCGAAAGGGTCTTTACTCACTTTCTAACTTGAATTTCGCTCTCAATACTTGAGTACGGGTATTTTCGAAGCTGCGTAATCGCGCCAGACCCCATCCCAAAAACAAAAAAGTCAAAAAGCCAAGAGCCAAAAACCAAAACCAATCCAATTCAATTCCAATCCCAAACTCTTCTTTGTTGTTGGCTGAAAAATTTCTGCGGCTGTGTTACCACAAGAGTTCGAGATCTGAAGTATCATAAACATTCACTTTTATATACGAAATGCAGCGACGTACGGAGCGTTGTCGTCACCCAATTTCCTGCTGCTACTTGATACAGTTTTTCAACGTGGACAAGGTCGTTTGAGAGCCGCCTGCCTGTCAGTCAGTCCCAACACACATCTTTCCCATTTGTTTGTTGTGGTTTATGCAATAGGCAAACTTCACAACAATTGGTTAGGGTAATTGAGGTCTGTGTGTCAGTCGGTGAGCTTGTCAGTAAGTTAGTGGCTCCTTTATTCCTGTCAATATGTCATTGCTCTAGATACTCTCGTTTTCAGCCAAGGAGAACACGAACGGAGGCACCTCGTCTATAAAATCCACTGAGATACTTCAAGCTGTGTAAATACTTACGATTAATTACACTTGAGCCCAGTAACTATCAATGGGCTCGATGGCAAATTTCTTTGCCGCTGAGAGTCTTTGGCCTTTATGGCCCAAACTCGTACAATACAATAATAATGGAGCGTTAAATGGGTTAGCAACGCCATCCTCCATTATTATTATCATCACAAACCACATCAAAGTGGCGCCAAAGGGCATCGAAAATAATGCGAATATCCGTATGTACTTATTGTTTCTTTCTCACAAGCCGCCTTTTTGGCAGGGCCAAATGATATTCAAGTACTTCCAAAAATAAACTGCAAAGCGTTTTCAAGGGGGGGCTGGCCGAAGGTGTCAATATGCAAATTGGCAAGGGTCGAAGCGATTGATCACCTCTCAAAGTAATTATGCATAGTAATTTAGCAAAATAAGCGAATCAAAGACGGGAAAATAATATAGTAGCTGGCCACGGGGCGTATACGTAATGGAAACCTTTTTAAACAAAGGTAAGTGCTTAATAATAGGATAAAGCTAAAGAGCTCAATTGGATTTCATTTAACTTGCCTCAATTATTGAAGGGCCTAATACAAAGAGTGAACCCTTTTCAAAATTGTAATCAAATTCGCTTTGAAACTATTTTTAAACATATTATTTATTATAACCTTGTCGTTGATCAGTTTTTGAACCATTCGTAAAAAAATTTACAAAGAACTGTTCTCAACCTTTGATTTATTACGACCTTGCAGATGGTTTTCTGATATTATTGTGCAGTTTTTCAGAAAATCTTTCAACGAGTGCATTAAAAGTAGTTTAACCGATTTGCTGACATGATTTAATGATGCTTAAGTTAATTTCTTATTAGTAACTATTAAAATATTAATGAAACTGGCAAGCCCTCCAGTAATAATGAGATACTCGTACAAACACCTTAAATCAAGCCAACTAAAATGTAATAAACATAAATCTCGAAGGTAATTAAAGATCGTAAAATTAAACAACGCTTCGGACGGATCTTTATTGCTCACTTCTCAGTCACTTCGGGCCAAGTTAAGCGCGGTCATATAATTATCTCAGTCATATCCATCATCCTAGTTATTCGCATTTGTATGCACAGCTGGAGTTCTTGGCCGCAACATTCCCCAGCGGATCTTCAGATGAATGCCACAAATCTCTAGCCATTAATTGTTCAGAGTTTCCTAATATCGCACTGGTCATCTGCTTGACCAACCCAGCGTCGACTGCTCTCCCACCTAATGTAGTTTTTATTTAAATGTACGAGCCTACAACTCGACATGCAAAACTGCGAACAAAAGAAGCATCAACAGCAGCAGCAGCGGCAACAATTTTGTTGCACTCAGCTGTCGGCGAATTCTTAGCAACAATTTGCTGCTCCAATTAAATTCACAGCTACGAGCTGTGAGGCTTCTTCTGGTTGTGGCCAAGTGTCTGTACATTAATCATGAGGTGATTTATGGCGCCCACGCCATCGACGCATGTGCTCACGTTTTTTACGGCGGCGGCAGCAGCAGCAGCAACATCAGCGCGTGTGGGCAGCCCACCTCCCACTAACTCACACCACCACCCCCAATCTAAAAAAACACCTGCCCCCTCCAAAGGCATTGTTATGCTCCGTTAGCCATTTTAGAAGCGTGTGGAAACTAAACGATGTGGCAAGAGTCGGCCAAATTGTTGCTGTGGGCGTAGGAGCCATGTTACAGCAGCAACATCAGTAACAGCAGCAGCAACATTGGTAGCATCCCCATTCGAAAACTTCCTCGGCCAGGTGTCAAAAGCAAGCCATAACTAAAATGAGGAATCCGCAATCCCCAATCCAAATGCGCATTGGTGCCAGGCTATCCGATGAGTTTATTAAGCTATCACTTAGAGAAACCGCCATTAGAATAAGTTAACTATGTTTCCAACTCAAAATTTCAAAGAGGTCTTAATTACTTTAAATGCCGCAATAAACTAAATCATAAAATTTAATTTTCGTGTTTGATTAATCAATCGTAGTTCGGAGTTAAAAAGCGTTTGGAACAGCTGTTTCTATCAATTAACGCTTTATTCTTTACTATTTCATAGATATTTTCCTAACAATTATTCTGTTTGTATTTCAATTTGAGATTATTTCTAAGCCTTATTTATTTTATTACCCTTTTTACTCACAATATAAATTATTGAAAATCAAGTAAATATCTTTTCACTGTGCAGCAGGTGCCGGCGTACCGTTTGAGCTTGTCAGGTGAGGCACGTTGAGTGTTTTAATTACCGCCGGTGCACACAACGCGATCTGTTGCATCCGCATAAACCGGCAACTGTGGCCAGGTTTATTTGATTTACGCGTGGTCATTAGCCATTGCCAAGTGGCTAAGAAGTCTTGGTCGCGCATTCAGCCTGTCGAGAAATGTCAAAAGGTTAATTGGATTGTGGCAGCCGTAGCCGTAGATGCCACCGAAATTGAAAACTGAATCTGAAGCCGGACCCTGCCAAGAATCTTGTTGAAAGGGGAATGCCAGAATGGCTGCCACTCTTTTCGACTCCATTGACCAGCCAGAAATGGTCAATGGCTGATCGAGTAAGTGGCATCAAGACAAAGAGTATTGCAAATAAATTCAACAAAAATAACTGATTTAAAGGAGATTCTCATTTTTATAAAATAACATCTTTAACTTTCTAAAGTTTTCCACACATACAAGGTCAAGAAACATAATTCTTTCCGAGGTTGTTTAACCTTCGTCATCAGGTTTTGTTTCAATACTAAACCTTTAATTACTCCATAAATCATTTTAAATGTAGATCACATTTATTTTTAGAGGAAATTCAACGAGTGGGAATATAGACTGATCCTCTAAATCTAAGCTTCATATAATTCCCTAATAATCCTTATTCCAGCTCCAACCTTTCCTCCGATCTTAGTTGGCCAAAATCCAATCAAGCTGCTAATGCTGACCAAACATGCAACCGATGAAAAGAGCCGCAGAAGATGAGTTCATTTGGGACTCCACTTCGCTGCGAAGACAGCCTGGGAATCTGGGCCGTTGTCGTCCACTGAGGCTTTGATTGATGACAGCGCCCACCGCATCGGCAGCTTCACACATTGAGTTATCGCCGGGTCTATCTCTTCATAAAGCGATAGACTCTTTTTTGGATATGCATTAAATATGAGATTGTTTTTGGGTTTTTTTTCCTGCCGTCATGTCGTTCGCTTTGAGAGCTCAGTTCGCTTAAGTGACAGCCGTGTGTTGTAGTTGTTTCTTAGCTGTTTTTGAGATGATACACCTACCTACCTGCCCACCTACCTGAGTAGTAGTACCGCCTTCCTCTCCTGGTACCCCCATATCCCCATAACCCATAACTGAAGTCGATTAAAATTCCTCCAAAATGTTGAATGTTAATCGCTCATTGTTTGAGGAGGCGCACAAAATTAAATTGTTTGCTTTTTTGTAAATTTGACATATAACAGATATGCCTGTTGTTGTTGTTGGTGCTGTTGTCGCCTTTCAAGCTGCCGCCGCCAGCAGCTGAGTGCATTTTCACAAACAAAAATGTTTCTTGCTGCTCTTTTAATTGCATTCTCAGACCCCAACGATGGCAATCAAGCGAAGACAAGTTAATTAAAGCCTAGCACAGCACTTTGGTCAGATTAGCATCAATAGTTCCAAGGATCCGAGCCCAAAACACCAGCTGCAGTTCTATATAAAAATGTGTTTTATACAAAGCCATACAAGAAATCGATTTACAAAAAAGCGACGGAATCTAGAAAAGTACGTTGCACCATTAGAGTAGAAGGAATGAGAGACAGAGTGAGTATGGGATTCTTTTAGAATTCTCCGTTTCCGTACTGCTGGATCTTCAGCAGATCGCTGGAGAACTGGAAGAGCTGCTCGCACTTGGCCGGCTTCTTGGCATCCGGATGGAAGGGTCCCTTGCCACCGTTGGCCAAGTAAGTACCACCCTGACCCTCGATGGAGGGATCAATGGCCGCTAAGACCACTGTACGGGATCCCCGTTCAGGGGTCTTGAAGAAAAGCTTCTTGAAGATAGGCACCGATGTGGTGGCCGAGTGCTCAAACAGATCTGTGTCTACAATACCCGGGTGCACCACGTTGACCTGTACGTGCGACTTTTCTGCATCCAGCAGCGTCTGCAGATGACGGGTAAACAAAATCTGGGCAAGCTTCGACTGGCTATAGGCAGTTCCTGGATAGTAGTGTTTTCTGCGAAAAGCAAAACCGAATAAGTTAAGAACCTAAAAGCTTAATACTTTATACTCACTGTCCGTTGATATCCTTGTAGTTGATGCGTCCAATGAGATTCACGCAGGAGCTGACGTTCACGATCCTGGCATTCTTTCCCTCCTTGCCCGCTGCCCTCAGCTGGGGCAGGAGCAGATGAGTGAGCAGGAAGTGACCCAGAAAGTTGGTGGCAAAGTGTGACTCGTAGCCATCGGCGGTGAGTTTGAATGGAGCGAACATAATACCAGCATTGTTCAGAAGCAAATCCACCTTAGAAAAACGTCCCTTGATGAGTTGGGCAAAGGCCTTCACCGACTTAAGGTCTCCCACATCCAGTTGCTCGCAGATTAGCTTGCCCTTGGTAGCTTTTAGATCTACTATAGATGCAACGGCGGTTTCAGCGCTTTTGGGATCACGGACACCTGTAATGGACACAAATTTTATTTACATTACCGAAATTATTTAAAATGCATAAGAAATCTCTACTACTATGCGAGCCATACTAAGCACACTATCTACACCACTTTTGGCGACACCTGGAGTTACTTGACTTAACCAGTGAGTTGTTTTCATTTGACATGTATACATTTTACATTTCATCAATGTAGATATTAACAGTCGACTGTTAAGCAAATGGAAATGTTAACTGAATTTATTATTAAATTTTCAAAACTAGTTTTTAATTTATGTTTCCGAATCTAAAGAGCTATTAAATATATTTGTTACTTCCTAGAAACGTAAAAAATGCATAAAAAATTTTCTTGTGCACTCTTCTAGTAAAAAGTAAATTACTTTCCTCTATAATGTCAATGAACTCTTATCGCTCGGATCTTCCGAAAATCGTTGTACGAGACTTGGTTAGGTAATGAAATCAGGCATTTGGATCATGATTTCTTGATCGCATTGACAAGGGTGGGAATGGATCTGCATTTCGACGATCGTCGGGGATTCAAATATTTTTTTTTTTTTGCTTTTCCGAGCACGTGCACTGCAGCACGTAAAATGTTTGTGGAATTAATAAACAGACCGCCTACTTTTGTATAGGGCTTAGAAAAACAAGTTCCCCGGCTGATTGGTCAACTCACCCATGACGACAGTCATATCGCAGGCCAGCAGCTTCTCCACGATCCGCAGTCCGATGCCGCGATTGCCTCCGGTGATGACAGCAATGCGATCCGGTTGTTTATAAAGTGCTTAATGGATAATGGCGACAATTAACGGCTGTGGGATAAGCATCAGCTGGTGATGTACTTACTCACTCGATCCCGTGCCGCATATTGAGCATCGTGAACGAGTCCAACGATTCCGAGGTACTGGTACCGGAACTCTGTCTTCCATTCGAACCATGACTTAGGGAACTCCTTGGTGGTCTTGGAGAACAGGAAAGCGCACAGCAACAGGCCAACGAAAAATATCCACAGCAATAGTCCGATCATGATTCTGTTCTATTGATTCAGTCGTCTTCTGTCTGGAATTCTGCAAAGGGAATTCACGGGTCTTGATAAGAAATCGTGTTTGAAACGGGGCAAAGTGCGCGCCGGCTGATAAGAAAATCCAATCTTGGCTCGTCACAGCCATTAGCCGGTAACATTATAATAAATATTGGCGAGTCAATTCGCTTTGAGTGCACTTTGCGACACTCTTCAACTGAGTCAGCAAGATTTGGCTAACCAAGTGCCAGCGGGCATATCTGTACGGTGTATTGGTTTGGGATTCTAGGTGTGCTGGCTATATCTGCTGGTGATTGATAAGTTTCATGATTTGGCTGTGAGTACTCAAGCTTCCAGAATTCTCATTGCTCTAAAATATAAATTAAATACCGTAACAGTTTCTAAGCTTTTTGTTAACCAATAAATGAATTTGTAAATGATAAACAAATTCTATTAAACAAAATGGACTTCCACATCTACTTAATTAATAAAAGAGTAATAATGATAAATCTTCCACAAAAATCTATATTAGTAAGCGCATTCCGAAATCGTCGTAACCCCATTGGCCCTCAAACCGCTTAAGTTGTTGGCTTTTCAACTGGGACTTTTTGTGTTTGCCCAGCAATTTCAAGCATTTGTTAGCCGGGCTTATAAAGCCAGCGAGACTGTTTAGCCGCAAATATTTATGCATATAAACTGCACTCTGTTTTTGAGCTGTGAACTAGAATCGGACTTTTCCGCCAGACTGGGGGAACAATTAAACTAATTAGACCAAAGATAGTTTGTCGCATTTATTAAGAGACAGCGAGGAAACGGGCTAAGGTGTGCTCGTAAAATGCAAATTAAAAACCCAAACAGCGGCGGAATGAAAGTTGAAGAACCGAGCTTATAGCCAAAGCCAATGAACGGGGCCAAAATAGTGAATTTGGGGCCAAAGCTGAAAATGACTGAGGCGCTAAACAGCAACAACGAGGGTCGGTTTCTTCTGCTGCTTGAAAGAGAGGAATATTGAAATGGGCGACCTGTCATAGTGCACTGAGAAAAATGTTGATAATTTCATAAAAAGCATAATCTGGTTAATTGACTAATGATGTTAAAGACCAGTTTAAAATCAGATTTAATAAGATGTTTATTAAATGGAACTTGATTAGAAAGATCATCGATAATGATCAATTTTTTGAAGTGTACGTATGACTCTACGAACGTGCTGTCAAGAGTTTCGACTTCCGTCAACAAAACGCAAAAGCTTAGCAGTTTTATTGTTGTTGCTGGTGTTGTTGTCGCGGTCGTTGTTAATTTGGCTGCATATGGTTAACTTTCTTTTTCTATTGTTGTTGCTGCTGACGATGCCCTTGCAAACGGTTTCTATTGTGTTTCATTATTTTTTACCTTCAATTCAGCTTTTCAGGTGAAAATGCACTTGTGCTCTTATCTCTGCTGATATTCACACCCTTTTTCAATTAAACGTACTTGGATTTTTTTATCACGTTTTCGAAAATTTCTCGGAAGAATAGTTCCAAAACCGGTTTATCCAGCGGGCCCTTACATCCACAACCGCTCGCCGAGAAATTCAAAACCGTACTAAAGTCCGAATTGCTTTTTAGTTCTAAGTTAAATTTTAAGTAGTTTGAAATTTAAAATTCATAACGAAAAGACGTTTGCTGCAGTTGGCCTAACAAAAACGAGTAAAACGGTTTCCAACTCGGCGCAAAAAGGCTTGGACGAAGACGAAGAGCGTTCGCTCTTTTGAATCTTTTTCTCCAGTTCGGTTCATTTTTCGCTCTCTAATTAGTTTCTTTTTCGGCCGCATTGGCGCTTCGGTTCTTTTATCTAACAGAAAAGTTAAGAAGGTAATAGTTTTCTTACAGAAATAATAGAAACCAACTTCTGCTTATGATTTATGATCTCTTTGAGGAATTATTTAATATAAACTGTGTTTTATTACAGGCAATAAAAGGTGTATACAGTCGTTATTCCTGTAATTTAACCCCTGGGCTATCAGGTTACACTACTTTTCCATTTCGGACGTGTCAGCATACTGACTATATAACATTGTGGAAGATATTACGGTCCCGAGAGGCTAAGGATTCGATGTCCATCAAAAACTTTACAGTCTAAACATCGAGCAATTCAAAATCCAAATAATCGTTAGTTTTAATTGCGCGCCATTCCGATGAACGTAATCTATGATTGTTGTTGTTTTTGTTTCGTTTGACTTGTTGCTGTTGATAAACACATGAAAACAAGTACAATTTACCGGCTGATAACGCGGAAAAACAGCTGACTTTGCGTGCGGTTTTGTTATACAACAATTCGGGCAAGTGGCCGAGGTATTTTTACCTGTATGTGCACTCATAAAACGACGACTTTACACTATATAATTAAAAAACTGCAGACGAGCTAAAAAGTAAGGTGGAGATAATGGATCAGGGATGGACTAAAGTCTCCTGTTGTTCTTTGACATCGATGGTTAATTACAGATATCGATTGTTGACGTAGTGAACAAATATTTTTTTCTAATGTTTTTTATTTCAATATTTGATCCTTAGAGATTGATAAAAATATATTATAAATTGAAAAATTGTTGATTATTAATAGGAATTTGATTTAAGGTGACCGCATTTTTTGGCTGTTAGGCTAAGCTTATTAACATGGCTACTGAATGTTAAAAAACTGTTATTGCTCTGTTCGCCTACAAAGTTAAGTAAAATCGGAATTTAAATATGAAAAGTTGATAATATTTATATTTTTTATTTTAAATATTAATTGTTAATATTAAGCCCTCCTTTTAAAGAAATAACACGATTTCGTTTGCTAGCTGATTTATTTATTGAACCGAAATAGTACAGTGCATTTAAGTGTTAAAACGGAAATATGTTCATACAACAATTACAATTTATGTTTGGCCTTGATACCAGTTATTAACTAATTTTGTCATTATATAGTTGCGCATACGTATATACTTAGTTCGAAATAAACAGAAGCTAAGCGAAAATCGAAATCTATGCTTTTGCGCTTTTCTGGTTTTTGATTAAATTGCGTTTAGCTTTCGGTTAAATCATTCAATTGGGATTATACCATATAGAGTGTGTGTGTTTTCTTGTGTGTATAGGTGAATACATATTTTGAAATATATATACTAGACTAAATTGAAATATATCCTTAAATCGTGTGTGCTGGTGTAAGAGGTGCCTAGGTGCTACTAAAAAGAATATTACTGTGGAAAGGACAAAGTATTTGAAAGGGTTTAGGGATCGGAACTCTAAGTTGCAGCTGCGTTGTCAATGTCTTTTATCGCCTGTTTCTCCACCTTCGTTTCCGTTTCCGTAGCAGCGACATCCTTAGGCTCCTTTAACTGTCAATTCTCTACGGACATGTTGCCGATGTCGTCGTTTATGGCCAGGACCTGGCTAATGAAGTTCTGGTCGGTGACCACCTCGGCCAGGGATTTGCACAGTTCGGTCAGTTCCTGCAGGGGCATCTTTAACTGCGGCGCCAGCCTGCTAAGATGTTGAGCCACGTAATCCGGCAGCTAGAAAAGATTAATAAATCGATTAGTAAATCCTCTATTATAGTATTTTCTATAAGTAATCCTTACCTTTCCCTTGCCCACCTTGAAGGCGGTAAACATCAGCTTCGTCCTAACCCTCTGCTCATTGGGTCCGTCGTAGAAGATGGTTAGATAGGCCTCCTGACCGTTGGCCACCAGCGGGAAATAGATACCCGCATAGACCTGACCCTTGGCGTCTCGAGAGAGCAGGGAACGGAAGTTGTACACCAGATTACGGCGCACGGTTACATCGATGGCCGTTATGTACTCCTGGGCCACGTAAACCAGCGAGGTCTTGAAGCTGGTATCTTCGCCACGGATCTCGCGCTCCTTCCACTCCACGAACTTTCCGTTTTGCTGGCTATAAACATAGCAATAATCTCTTTGCAAATGCGGCTCCTTGGATTGGGTGAACCAGCCTGGAGATACATAAGATCCATAAGTTTACATTATTAGGAAAGTGGAGAGGTTACAACTCACCTGTATGTGGATAGCTCTGATCCTGCATAACAGTCACCGCCCGACTGACATGGTAACCCGGGTCCAGGATCATAACACCCCGACGATCGCCGATGGCAACACGCATGGCCACCATCACATGCTCCTTCTCAACACCTGCATCCACCGAGTTCAGACCACACTCTTCGTCCAGTTGAACGTAGTCCTGACAGTCTATAACTTGCTCCTCGCAAGACACCACGTACAAGTAGTTGGCCAGCGCCGGAAACAACTGCACCATCCTGGCAATGATCTCAAAGGCCAGCGAGGCGCACATGTGATGGCGTCGGTTGATGGGCACATCGTAGAACTGGAAGAAGCTGCGCAGATCAGAGCGACGAGTGCGCTTAAAGCTGCGATAGAAATCGACAAACAGGTTGACAGTGTTGTAGTGTGTCTCCTCCAGCATCCGCTGCAGCGTGGTCTCCACAATCCCGTTGAGCTCCTCATACTGCCAGACATTATCGAAGATTAGGGTGCCCTTAGCTGACTCCGAGCTCGACCAGTCGGGCAACGGCAACGGATGACCAAGAGGCCACACTCCATTGACCTGGTTAAAGGCCTCCAGGTCGTAGCCATCGCCCACTATCCACTGACCGCTGGAGATACCGTCCAGCGATGCTGCGACGGGCTGCTGTCTGGCCAGCAGCTGCCTGATGTCGGAGTAGCGCTCCGATCCATCCACAGATGTCAGGTCGGTCGGAGGCACCACCTCCTCGTCCTCCAAATCCTCCTCACTGGAGGTGGAGGGTGTGCGACGGATGGCGCCAGTGCCATGTCCACTTGGTTGCTCAGTTGAGGCGAGAGATCGCTTCGTAGTCAATCCCAATCCCAAACCGAGCACCGCATCCGCCAACTGCTGATCCGCCGGGAGCAACGGATCCTGGGCAGCGGCGGCGGCAGTGGCCCCCTCCTCCAATGGAGAGGCCACTCCCCCATCCCGTAGGTGGCTGGTAGCAGCGGCGAGTCAACTCGGCCACTCCGAGCCCCAACGGCCCACGGTGGGCACATAGCCACTTTCACAGTCATTGAGGGTGGCGTCTAGTTGAATGTTGGCGAACTGTTGGCTTGAATGCAGCGGTGGTTGGGCAGCTTGGCCAGCCTGGGTGGCTCCTACTCCAGCACTGATCAGACTAATCCGGCCCTGCGCTCGCTTGAACAGGAGGTCCGGCTCGTCTCCAAATTTCGTCGTTAGTTTAGACTGATCTGTTTGTTGGAAGGAAGGAAGGAATGAATTAAGATTAGTTAGGGTTGAATTTTGTTTAACTTGACCTACTGGCCTGACATCTCAATATAGAAAAGGAACTACATGGCAATGACTATGTTTTAAAATTAGAAAAGCTATTTTCCCTGCTTCGTATGCCTCGAGAATGAATCTAATTTACATAGACCTATTTATAACCCATGCAATATATTTAAAACGTAAGTACTTTTACGTTAGTTAATATTAGACAAGAGTAGAAGTATAATTTGCACTTTCTTCTATAAACCCCTTGATTTGAAAATATCAATTATGAACACTTCAATGTCACTTTAGAATAGATTAGGTGGCATTACCCTTATAATCTTTAGCTCAAGATTATATATTTTTCATGCTAGACCGTTGACCTATCCCCGATCTCCTTACTGATTAGGGAAAGTACCTCCCCTGCAGTTTCCTAATTGATTTCGATCCGAGCTCAGCAGGTAACGCTGCCCTTCTCAAAGTCAAATGGCCCTATAATTAATCTTAACCATCTGGCTGTCTAGTACCTAGTTTTTCGAGCAGTGTGTTGCCGGGGAGGCAAACATCTAGGCAAGTAGATGTACAGTCGCTCGACCATCGGGCAATAAACAAATGCCATTCGACAATATAATTTCTATATGTAGGTACTTCTTATCAGGAGGAGGCAGGAAGTGGGCGGGGACTACTAAAATGGGTTTCGAGTGCTGATTGCTTACTTTCGTTAGTTGCAGGCAATAAAACACAATAAGTACAATGACTTAAAGAGCTAAACGAAGTGCCCACGTGCCAGGAACTAGAAATAGAGGCTTAGGCCTTGAGGTCAGGGGGCACAGCATGTGATATTCTGCGAAATCTCACCCAGAGTCATGCGCTTATCTTATTTGGCTTTCCGTGCGAATGTTTTTGATTAGACATATTGCGTCGTGAATTCGCTTTGTTTGTAATATGATTCAATACAGAGCACGATGCCGTTGCTCCGCATACATATGTGCCACATTAGCAACGCACTCAGTGGCTGGCACGCGCAATTGTTGCTAATTACACGTGAGTCACCGGATGTGAGAGTGGGCCATGAAGTTGAATTTTCTCTAGTTTGCCGGACCGAACAACAATGTCTTCGTAAACAATAATCAGTGTACTTTATGGCCTACACTGAACTAAAGATTTTGTGTAAAATAAGTAAGTAATTGTTTTCTATTATTTTTTTCTGCCTTTTACCTATCTAGCGAGTAGTTAGTATCTTTTCCTAGTAGCTATCTTAAGTAATTTATATTTGAAGTGCAGGATGAGGTGATTTTTCTCTAATCACTTTATAGTTCTGAGTAATCTTCTTTGTCATGAGTCTGACGATATCGTTTTCCGTCTGTACAAATGTTTTCTTTTTTAAATGCCTGACTAATGTTCCCCATACTTTACTTTTCTGTTTTTTAGTTCTCTTACTGGCATATCCACCTTTCTACTTTGTTGCATGTTATTTCAGTTTGAAATACAAGCTGATTCTGATTAATTTTTTGTGGTTTCCCAATGAGTTCTACTGAATTTCCCCCAGCTTTGTCGTTTTAATTTACTTACCCATACAATGGCCTAAGCCCAATAAACGAAATTGTTGTTTTCCTGGTTAGATCTTGGGTTTAGTTCGCTTTTTTCACACAAAACTTTTGTATTCTCTGCGGTATTTGTGCTACCACTTGAAAGTCAGAAGTAATTTCAATTCGATACGGTTGAAGGAATGCAACAGTTGCTTTTCAACTGTTGTTGGTTTTCAATTAGATTTTCTCGACGCGCTTGCGTGGAAAACCGAACGAACGGAAGGAAAATAAAATAAGGGGAACGCGAACTAAAAGCAAACAACTTGTTGTTTGCGGTTTTTTGTTTGCCGTGGCTTTGTCTTTGTTTTGTTAAACAATTATTACGATTTGTTTAGTATTTATTGGAGGTCGCCTTTGCCTGTTCAATGCAGGTCCGAGTTTTTTAACGATATTGGCGAATTAATCGACATCGAAGAGGATTTTGCTCGACACTTGGTACCGATACTATATATGCACTTGCACTTGGCTATTTACGAACGATTTTCCCTTGGCTGTTTTCCGTTGGTTTTCCTTCGAAGGCCTGAGCTCCGTTGACGCTGAGAGACGCGTTGCGACTGATGAAAATCGGCTGTGAGCGTGCTGCTATATAAACGATCGGGGTATCTCGAAGTCGGAACTCGGTCGACGTCGACTGAGGCACAGATTGTTGCTCTGCGTTTGCGCAAACTCAAAATATTTCAATTTATGACGCAAAAAAGCTTGAAAAATTCCACAAAAACGATAAGGGGAGCAGCCGAATGTTGGACGCGACTTTTGTTTTGCTCCAACGGTTCGTAGGTAAACAAATCGGATGTTTTTGTTTGGGCTTCTTATATTGGGATAGGAACACTGTAAAGACAAAAGGGAAAAGAGGGGTTAGTCTTCGTTCAACAAGCTCCACTTAAGAGGTGTTGTGAATAAACAACCAAATAATAGATCCTAATTCTGGTCTGGTGATATCACGATAAACAGCCAGTCACGCAATTTGCTAATTTACTGATTTGCTTACTTTGATTTCAGCTACTAACTCTTATCGCTCTGACTCAACGGTTGTTTGTGATCTATTTATGTTCTTAGTGGTCCCCTTGGAATGGAAAACCTTGAATTTTATAACCGACGGAGTGGAAAATTTGTCCCCGGAGTTTGTTTCCTATGCGCTTATAGTTATCACACGACTGGATGCACTCCCCAGATTTCATGACATAGAAACATTTATGAATATTCCACAAATCTGTTCGAAATGCCAACTGGTTGCAAAGCCAACCCCAAGGTCACACGGGGCGAAGTGGATGGGCAAAGGGCTGTCTAGGGACATCTGCCAACTACGTATACGTATTATTTTAATAAACAAAACGCTTATGGGACCCAGGATTTTATAAGTGTCACCAACTAATTGGCATTCAATGGCCTTTTGCCTGTTAAAGAGGCAACAACTGCTTGTTTACGAAAACAAAAGATTTAATTACAGTACAACTTCCTTAGGGACTTAAACTAGTAAGCTTAGTTTACCTCATGATATGTAATATGTTAAAAAGAAACTCTTATCGACTTATGTTTTATTTTGCCAAAATGGCTTTTCGCTTATAGAGATTTCTTTTATAGAAGAGTATATCCCTTAAATCGACCTTTCACTGTTATCACACTCATAGGCCTAGGGCGCCTTTTGGCAACAACTTTTGCGATCCCATTTTTTCTTGAGGCCCCACCATACGGAACAATGCCAAAGCCGTGGCGCTTTTCATTTGTTGTTGTTTACAGTTTGTGCCAACCAGGCCGACTGCCACGCCTCCTCCTCCCCTTCTATATAATGCATGTGGGCCATTTTATATAGCTGCCATATAGTAGAGATCTGTATATCTGCGCCGTAATAAAATTCATGCCGTGTTTGCCGAGATGTAGACAAACATTTTTTGATGGTGCAATTTGAATTAAGTACGAGTATATTGCACTAGCCCAAGGTCATTCATAAGAACGAAACTAGAAAAACTGCAATTGAATACGAGCAGGCAGACAACATACGTTGCACTCTAATTAAAATGACAAAAAGTTAGGTTTTCTAGATTATAACATTATTATCACCATTATTTAGATATAGAAGACTATGACATTCGTTTTAGTAATAAAGATTCAGAATGTAATTCAAGGAACGTCCACTAATTACGCAGTTTGTAGAGGAAGTCAAATATTATTTCACATGGATTACACTACTATATATATCTCTATATGTACATATGGACTATTTCGCCATATATATTGTGAAATTAAATTCAAGACGCTTTGTTTTCATGTTCCAAGAACTTAAGAATCATTTGGTTCTTATTGTTATTACTGAAGATTGTTCTTTATTTGGTAGAATGTTTGCAATTTACTATCTTAATTTATAACATTCATATAAAGATCAAGTTTAAAAATCTTTACTCCCAGTAATGAACTTTTAAGGCTGGAAATTTATACACATTTTTTACTGATGATAATGACGTCAATTTTGTTTACTTCAGTAGCTTATTCGCTTCTTTAAAATATGATTCCGGTATTTAAATTGATACCTTTAAATGCATTGCAAATACGAAAACGAAGGAATTTGCAGAGAAGCAAAGTGAAATCGATTTAGAGGGCATGCTTCACATAAACTATAAGACGAATATATTTATTACTAATTAGTTAATGAAGTCGCCGCGCAAAAGAGGCTCAGGGCTGTGGGGCAGACGATTTACGATGCAAGCCAATACCAATTGGCAGAAAATGATGTTGTATTAGTTTTTATTAGCGGAGCGGAAGGCAAAGTTCGGAGGTCGACCTAACTGCCTTATTGGCTTACTGCCTTACAGGCTTTCTCCATTGACGTCACTGGAAAAATGTGAGCAAATTGCTGATGAAACTAGTTCAATGTCGCTGGTCATATCTGACGTCACCGTTGAGGGACTTTGCTCATCCGCCAGGTCAGCCCAGCCGGCCGGTCTTTGGAATGGGTTTGGACGGCCTATCATCGCCCCCCCTTTCACCCACCACCCATGACCCGAGGACTTCCAAGAAATTCCCTGCGCCACGTGTCGCGTGTCTGGCGTGCGTATTTGTAAACAAGTGCACAGCCTTTTAGCCGTTTGTATGGGTAAGCGAGGCTTTGTCCTTTTTACTATCAAAACAACAGGATGTCACTGCGCAGCCGTTGGAAAGCTTTGGATTTTCCACATGGAATAGAGGCTGGAAACAGAAAAAAGCGGAACAAGAACAGGAACAGTCAAGGACCTTAGAAGACCTGGAAACTTAGCAACCAGATTTGATTGATGGCTTAACTTTAAGCCTTATATTAAATAAATATTTTATTCATCTTATTAATTTCTGAAAAATATTTATAACAATTAACTCCTTTGATAAAAATACCTTCTACCCCATAGATATACCTAATATTTTGAACCCCACTGTCAATGGGGATGCCCTGCTCTTGCGCACTTTTATTGACCATTTCTTTGTTGTCTGCCGTTGGTGTTGTTGTTTGGTCTGAGTTGCCTAGTGACCGCAGGCAGATTTTTATTTTGTTTTTTTTTTTATTGTTGGCCAAGTGAAAGGCCACATTGCAAAATCGATAGAGGGAGTTGGGAACCAGTAGCACTGCTTATTACCTTATTTTTAATTCGATTCGCAGGACGGCATACAGAAAATCAAACGCCGCCTGCCGAAGGGAGTAAGTGAGGCAGGTGCCAGGACCCTCTTACAGCTTTTTACTCCAGTTGTAGGATCCGTTGTAGAAAAATAAAATCAATATTATCATTTTGGTGTGCATATTGAGGACAGTCATTGCACTACTTTTTGCAACAAGCTTTTCCGGTTAGAATTTTGGCTTTAGATTAATATTTAGTTCACGATAAACGATTAGTTTTTATGCCTTTTCCGTTTAAGTGTCATTTAAATGAAGTACAGAACTCGCGAAAATCTGTCTATAGCACTAAACTTTAACCGAATTCGAGAGATTTCTCTGTATGTTATACTGATATATTTTTAAGTAATTTAGACTATTTTAATTTTATTTGTCCTTATCCTTCGCGAGGATGTGCTGCACAGTTGAACGTAGAAAAATCGACTGTGACTTAGGAACTGAAACAGCCGAGCTTTCCCAATTTCCAGACCGATTTCCAATAACCTTCCAATCACTGCTTCCCGATGTGCTTTGTTGCTTGTAAAGCGACGTGGCATTCGCTATGTCCTTAAAACTTTGTCTTGTCTTTGTCCTGTGTTTTTCAGGAAAAATAATTGTAGTTCTTCGCTCAGAAAAGGTTTTGTTTATTTCCCAGAAATAAATTGGGAATTTAGCAAGAAATTCAATTGGGAAAATATTGTAATGATATATTGTAATGATTTCACTTAGTCACTAGTAAATTGATCCACTTGAAAAATAGTATAACCCTTTATGATTTCTTGGTTTTTATAAAATTTTTCGGAAAACCTAACAAATCAGCATGTTATGTCATAGACTTGACTATAAAAATAAGGAGATTTACAAAAATGAACTGGTCGACGATTCCAGCAGGATGTTGTGCTGATGAAAACAATGTCAATACGGATTTGGAGCCAAAGAACGGTCGTATTTTTATTAATATCAATGGTAATCCTAACGAGCGTTGGACAAGCGACTGGCCGATCTGGCCGTCAATATTTTTACGGGTCTTCAGACTCAAATATTCCGTTGAGCAGGCGACACTGCAGTAGCGAAAGAAAGGACAATATGAAGTTAAGGGAATTGGCACCGCCAAAGACACGATTTCTGAACGATCCGGAATTACTCTTTCAACGACTGGATGACTTGGAGTCAGGGGATCCTAAAAAAATGTCACCTGGCAAGAAAAAGTCTGAAAACTCCTTCATTGATTCCAAGGATACGGCCGCCGTGACTTTCAAGGAAATTGTATCCCAATTTCCAAGCGATGCGAATGCCAGTGCTCTGGAAAATGATGATGAAGAACTCACAAAAGATGAGGAGGATCCCTTCGAATCACTAGCTCAGATGAATTTCGATGAGCAGAACCTTCAACCTAAAGACGATCGGGAGCAGAGCAGAAGGCAGGGTTTCCATATCGGCCACCAACAAGATGGAAAACCCGCTGTAGCCACCGCCAATCTGTTGGCCAAAGTCATTAGCTCTAATGTTGATCAATCTGGAAAGTTCCAGACTTGTCAGGCCACTACGAATCGTCCGATGTCCACTATGAAAAGCTCCACAACTCGTCGGTCAGCGACTAGCACCACAGAACGTAGTCCCACTACCTTCTGTCTGCCGGAACCTTCATCTGATCAACATAATAACCCCCTGCCTGCGCCTTCAACTCTACCTACTCCCCCTCCATCTTCTCTTCCACCATCGTGTCCGCCTTCTGGGAAACTTAGCGGAGAGAGGACAATGTCCAACAAATTTTCTACAAAATCCAAGTCCCCTTCCCCAAAAGGTTTTAAGACGCTGCTGAACACTATTTTGGCCTCCAAGCAAAATGCTCTTTCGGTCCTGAAGGCCCTCAATTACCTGGAGATGGAGCTATTAAGTCAGTCAGAAGATGACGGCTTGGGATTGGATTCGGAAAACCTCGTTAAGGAGCAACACCCGAAAAAGACTTTTCAGCGATTGGGAAAACCAAAGAATATCCATTCCCGATTGTTCTCCTTTGGAATACGCCCGGCAAGCCAACAAGAAAGCATGTACGATTTGGCACTAGCCAAGGAGGAGGAAATTAAGTTGGAGGATCGCGTGTGGGAGGAGCACCAAAAGCAGATAAAGTTAAAGAGGCCAATAAAACCAAAAAGGTTTGAGATCGCTCCGGCGGCCGCTGCACGGCTGGAGCCCTATCACCAGCCTCAAAAACCACAACAATCCTTGGAGTCCTTGGATTCCCAGGAACGAGAAACTCCCGGAGACGACAGGCGCATTAACCTGGAAGCCTTAAGCGTTGTAGTAAAGCCCATGTCTTCATGTCCCAGCAAGGATACCCACAATCCGCTAGTGCCTTGGAATCAATCCCCAATACCCAGTGCTGAAATGAAAGCCATTCGAGTGCAGGGCCCAATAGATAACGAACTGATTTCAAGCAAAAGATTTCAGAAAAGGAAAAGAAAGAGGAAAAAACTTAAGTTGTATGCCCAGAAAAAGGAAGTAGAGGGAAACAAAATTTCGTCTGGCATTGCTGGAGTCTTCTATTAAGTATTTTTAATTTTAATTTAAACAATTTGTAAAGACAAATATATATTTTTGAGAAAAGCTGTAAACTTTTGGAGGCCGTGTTAAAATACTAGATCTTTCAGCTTTCAGTATTAACGCGAATTTTATGACCTTTTTAAAGTCGAAAATCTGGCCATACTAAAAGGCGCCTTTATATTTCCTTCAAGTATTTCTTTTGAAATCGAGTTATAATTTAAGGTTAAATAAATAGGAAAAGCGAAGAAACGATTAAAAAAAAGAAGAAAACCCAGCCACACCACAATTTCTTATTCAAAGGACTAAAATTCTTTTTTTGCAGATTGCAGTGCATATCTACCTGAGATTTAAGTATTATTTAATTGTTAATTGGTAAGTTCGAATAAACGGGATTATAAAGTAGATATTCGATTTTAAAACATATTGCCACATTTGTACTTATGTATTGACATACATAAATATAGTATGTTTGTAAGTATATTGCCTATAAGAGAAGTGCCGTTAGTTGCACTAACTGTAAAAGTTAGAAACGCAGCAGCAAAGGGCAATTCAAAAATTATTAAATTTCATATTCCATTTATTGATAGTTGACTAAATAACAGGAAATTTGCAATTCGATACGTTGAGAAATTTGTTTGTTTATTTTCTGCTGCTGCGCCGCCGCTTATGTCCGCCTTTTCTTTCTGTCTCTCTTTCTTATTCGCCTTATCTATTCTCCCATTATTGTATTTGCCAATATAATTTTCCACACTTAAAGAAAAAGTATAGATCCTTCTTGGTTTTTTATGCTTAAAATGTAATGTATATTTCTTAAATATATGTATATGAAACAGTTAACTTTATAACCCTATATCAACCAGTTTCAGTTAAATCGTTTTTGTAGTAACAGTGAGTAATACTAGTGCTAAAGCACAATTTATATGATTTTATGACAAGCTGTATTTTTTTCTATGCGCCTAATTGTTGTTGCGTTTGGGGGTGGCGGTGGGCGCACGCATTCCACACCACTTAAATCACACTCAATGGGTTGATACTCTCTTCACCTCTCTCTTTGCCAGATCGCTTGACCAATCGCTATGGAACAGAAAGATATTTTGTTGAATGTGGCCAAAGTGGTCAGGGCCTTGATCACGTCCGCGAAGCCGCCGGTAGAACTGCGTTCCATAGTAAAGGATTACCAGGATGTGGAGGGGGAAGAGATGCCCTTTCGCAGATTGGGATACCCGAACCCTCAAGAGTTGCTAGAAGCAACGGATGAGTTCATCTTTAACAAGCACGCCAATAAGGTAAATATCATGACCCAATCAATCTAATTTCTCTGACTTTTACTTTCGCCTTTACATTTAATTGTTGCCAAGATTCTTGGCGAATTACTGCATATCGCTATAATCGGGGAGAGCGGCTCTCTGCCACCCACTTTTGACGCTTTCTTTCGCCCACTTTGCTGAGCTTGCTCTCTCGGTGCTTCTCTCACGTGCGCAAATTTCGAGTACCTCTCTGCCAGTGTTGGCCATTTATTTTTTTTTTTACTTCGTTCCACCTTTATAAAAAAGTGCAGTTTAAAACACAGATGCAAAAAAGGAAATAACTATAAAAAAAAGAAACTTCAATATTGGAATTATGTCTCATTGATTCTAAAAAAAAAAAAGTAATTTTAAGTTAATTAAAGTATTATAAATATTTTAAAGTTCTCACCTAAAAAGACGCTAGATTTGTCTGGAACGCAGTCAAGTCGTCATCACTGTTGGCTATGGAGCTTTTGGCGAGCGGTGGCTGCCGCTTTCAGTTCGATTCTCTGGTCGAACGCGTGCGGAGCCGCTGCTGCTGCGCCGCTTCTTTCCCGCTCCACTCTCCAACAAAAAGGGGCTGACTGCCGTCCAAGGGGCAACGTGTCAACGGCGTCTTCTTCTTTTCATCTCCGCCGTGAAAAGTGTAAACAATGGATTCTACTTAGTCTAGTTTCGTTTTTCGTTTGCCTCTTGTACTAGCATATATTAAACAGTCATTCCTTGAGCTGTGTTTTTCGCATTTCGATTCGTGCTGATTAAGCGCTTTGCTTTAATAAATGCAACGACAGCCAAAAACAAAAGTGTATAACGCGAAAACCGAAAAGGCCACCAATTTAAAGTGGCCTGTGTGTGTGTGTGATTGCATGATTGCATGGTGAAAGTGAACGAACGTTGGCTATCGTCTGTTTTTCTCTTTAAATGTCAGTCCATCTGGGCATATTACACTTGAACTGTTCGCATTATTCTTGTTTAGCAATGTATTTTCTCACCTGTAGGCGAAAGTGGGCGTTCTGGGCGGGTTCTTCCGGCCAACGCTTTTGCATTGTTGCCAAATCAATAATCAAACGACCCACAGATGCAGCACGAAGTCAACGAATGATATTCATTTAATTCCATTTGACTGCAATTATGTATTCTGTAGTAGCATTCCAAGCTTCTGCTTCGCACTATTATCACGTCTTTTCGGGTTACAAAGCCCTGCCCATAAGCAGATCCTATTGCTTACCACTTGGAGCTGTGCCCCTATAAAGATGATTGCTGCATTGAAACAACTCAGCGCAATGTGAATTATAAACAAAAATTTAACTCCAAGTAGCTCAGATTTCCAAACACTTGAGTAAACTGTGGGCTTGGCTGTTAAGTAGCTGGCTCTGGAGTTTTATGGGTTATATTGGATTACCCAAACTTAAAAGTTGTCCAAGCGAAGCAGCTTTCCCTTCCCAGAAATAGTTGCAAATGTATATAATGCAGGGTTCTCAATTTAAAGGTTGTCTTGGTTTTTGGTCTTAAAAATCTTAAGCAACTTCAAAACTATGTAATTGAAATACGATTTTCAAAGTAACGAATGGAAGACAAAATGTATTCTTAGGGAATGTCTGCTTAACACCCAGGAATATCCCTAGTTTATTCCAAAATGACTTACAACTTTATTTCCTTAACAGGTATTCATCACTGCTAAATATAACGCTAAATCAGAACATATTGCGCGTTTGGTGCGATCGCAAAAAAAAGGCAAGGCCACGCGTGTTGCAAAGCCACAACTGTCAACAACTGTCCGGAGAGCGTACAATCAGATACCCATCAAACCTTTCAATTCGCAGAGCAATCTTAAATACAAATCGGAAAGTTATCAACCTATGCAAAAGGAGGTGCAGGAAAAGTCTTATGAAACGTATCACTACCAGCAGAACCAGTTATATAATCAAGTTCATTACCAGAACCTTCAACAGCAGCAGTACCATCACCAGTACCATCAACAGCACCAGCAGTCGTATCAATCAGTCAATAACCAGAGCAATAAATTTCATTTCTGTCAACGGCAGGACCGTTGGGAACACCACCAGACCCTCCAGCTTCAGCCGGAGGAGCAGAAAAAACAGGCCGAACAGAAAAACGCTAGGAAAGAGAACGAACTCAGGGAATCCGCTGAACGTAAAAAGAAGGCCCAGCTAGAGCAGGAGCTGAAGGAATCTGCTGATAAGGAAAGGCAGGAAAAGATCAAGCGAGATCAAGAGCTGAAGGAATACATTGGGAATGAACTGACAGTTAGGTTTAAAAAGGAGCAGGCTAGGTTCGAAGAAAAGCTTCAGTTGCGGCTTAAAGAGGAATTGAAAGCGTTTAGGAAGCTGCAGGAGTACGAGCGTAAAAACCGCGAGGAAAATTTAAAGAAGGAATTCCAAAGGCAGGAGCAGGAGAGGGATAAGGAAGAAAAACGCAAGATACAGGAGAGCCAAGAGAAAGAGAGGAGGGAGAGCGCCAAACGGCAGGTATTCCAGGAACGCGCTCAGAAAGATACCATGCGAGCTGCAAAGTTGGATCAGGAGAAGATCGTAGTAACGATACCAAACGATAAAGCGCCCGCCATGAATGGTCACTCCCAAAACCATGTAAAGTCCAATGGGCAAGGAAAATACAATGACGGCAAACCTCCGTTGCGTGCGATCCTTGGTAATAGTGCTTCGCAGCGCAAGCCAGATACAACAACCAGCAACTACGTTTTTAATAAGGCCGAACCGAGCTTCAAAAGGCCGATCCATCCGCGAGTACAACATCCTGGACAGATGCGCTCCACTGGCTTTTCTGTCAATCACAGACTGAAAGTAACACCGCAACCGGATGCTCTTACGCCAACGGCTACCCCCATCACTCCGCCGGCTTCGCCAGAGAACGCTCAAACGAAATCCTCTGCCACTGCTGCCACGCCCAAGGATGATGTTCTAAAAGTGAACGGAGTCCAGCCTCAGGCAGTCAAAGTCAATTCCACGCCAAAAGCTAAAGTTCCCATTAAACTCGATGCTTCCTTCGATGCAGTTTCATCTTTAAACCGCTATTGCGAGGAAAATAACTTCGAGAAACCTGCATATAACATATTCCAGAAGCCACCTCACCTTCACTGTTCTGTGCGGATTGCTGGTGATGTTTACAGTAGCTACCCGGAGGAGTTCACTGATAAGGAAACTGCCTACCAGCGCACAGCCCAGATAGCCGTTCAACGTATCCAACACGCAGAATCGCACCAAAAGCTCTCCTCTTGCACACTTAGCGACGCAGACTTTATCGACGGATTGTACAATGAGCTATTGAAGTTCCCGCATGGCATATTGGGCCACAAGCTGGAGGACTGGTACAGTAGCACCTTCCGGCAACATCTGCCCAGCCATTGGTATGATCTAATTATAGAGTCAAACAAAATTCGCGTGGAACACGGCATTGACCCAAGGATTATACTGTTTGCTAACGATCCTGGATCCCCGGAACTAATTCCGATCACCTCGACCAGTAATTTGTCGCAGTGTGTGCTGCCTTGGCAGCTGAAGGAAGGCGCGCCGCACGACTGGAATATGTTTATCAGCCACTGCGAATCCACCAAGCTTGTGTGGGCACGGATGATCGATCAGATAGCTAAATTTGATGAACTGACGAAGTACATGGGTCGACAAATGGCGGCCCCGCAATTCCGTCAGAAAGTTGCCAAGCCTTTGGTTCAGGAAATATATCTAGTGGAGATTCCTGATGGCTGGAACCGTGTTCGCGTGATATCCGTAAATGACGAACAGCGTTCGTGCCGCTGTCATTTTGTGGACTTTGGTGATATGGCTCTGTTTGAGATCGGAGAACTGTTTCAGTGTCCGCCGCAATTCCTAACGCTCCCGGCACAGGCCGTCTGCTTGAGCATGTATGCGTTGGACAAGTTTGAGGACCATCCGCACGCCCAGCAAGTTTTGACAAAAGAACTAGATGGCCAGACGGTTGTGGCCCATGTGCTCACCACAGAGAAGCAGTTCCTGGAACTGGGTGGAGCTGCACAGGGAGTGGTGGAAAATGGTAAACGTCGGCCTTGTTTGGTGGCCACGCTGTACGACACTTCCACGCCCGAGGACATTCATTTGAACGATCTAGTTGCCAGCAGGATCATCAAATATACACCGGTGCCTACGCTTTGTGATGAGAAAAAAATCGGCAAGACTACTCCGATTCTTGTATCTCATATCAACGAAGATGGCGATTTGATGGTGTTGATGCGGAACGATGATCTTAAGTTCGTGGAACGCAGTATTGTCCAAACTGTGGCTGACCTGGGGGAGCAGGACCGAGTAAGGTATTCAGATCTGCTTCATGATCGCCATGTGTTTGTGTGTGATGAGTCTGTCGAGGGACTAAAGCAGTGGTTCCGGGGACGACTGGTTGCCAGACCCGAAAATCCAGAGGAGGAGACCTTCGACGTCTACTATGTGGATGACGGTCGCCAGCGTAAAACGCACATCTCTAACATTTACCGCCTGGAGGCCAACAATAGAGCGCTGGCCTCGTTCCCACCACAGGCGCTGGCCGTTCGCCTGCACGACGTTCCCGAGATCGCTGGTCATATGTTGGGTCGTCTTCGTGGACTGATGCCTTCGCGCACCGAGGCTCTGGTAGGTATTTTATATTTATTAGTTAAATTATTGTCTAACCTACACCACTTACTCACGCAGCTCAAGGTTGTGGCAATGGACTCTTCGAAGCCCTTAGTCAACATCTTCGTCCGCGAGGATCCGGAGTCAATGTACATGTGCGTGAATATCGGTCTACGCCTCGAGTTCGAGATGGCAAGGTAAGCCTCCATATTACGTTCACATTACATTGTCATTCAATCTAAAACATTATGGTCTATATCACAATTTCATCCAATCACATTACCATCAAGCTCCCTAATCAACGACATATAATTTCAACTGGTGCTAATAAGTTCATAATACGTTTATAATCGATCCTTTGGTTAATGCTGTTTCTATTAGTGCTTTCGATAAACTGGAACTGACTTGATAAGCTATCGCTAACAAAATTTCGATCTACGCTAATGAAAATACTACGAAAATAAACCTACTGTAAGCTTATACCTAAGAGTCATACACATCTTTGTAAATAATCAGAAAAATATAATCATAAGCAACACAACTACCAAGTGAGCCCTCAAGCGATCATATTTTTTAATGCTTGAAACCAAACCCTATCCCTACGTTCCCCTTCTCACCTTCGATTCCCCTCACGCACAGCTCTAATCGTCCGGAGAAGTGCGATTATATGCTCCTGGGCTCCAGTGGCCAGCTTCCTCGGAATGGCAGCTTCAGCTCTGTGGTCTCAAGCCAGAGCAGCAGCAGCGAACTTGTCGCTCTTACTCCACCAGTGACGCCACAAAAGGGGTTATCCACCAGAGTGGGAGCCAGCACCTTCTCGTCTCTCATGCTCAAAGATTATGAGGCCATTCCAGCCATAGGCGCCTATTTTGAGGTGCGCGTTGCCCTCTCCGTCAATCCCGGTCACTTTGCTGTAAGTTTAGAGATCCCAGGATTATTTCGTCCGTACTAATCCTAATGTATCCTCTCGAAGGTCCAACCCTATAAGTGCTACAACCAGCTGCAGACTTTGATGAAGAATCTACAAGAGCATTGTAAAGGACCTGCAGCCAAGGGAGTACAGCCCTCGCAATTGGCCATTGGAGAGGCATTTGCAGCACCTGACAGCGACGGCGTCTATCATCGGTGAGAACAATGAAATCCAGTTTTATATAATCTTACTAATTTTAATTAAAATTAAGCGTAAGTATTCGTAAGATTTACGATGAGATTATACACGTCCGTTTCGTCGATCTGGGTGACGACGGAGTAGTTGCCTGTGATCAACTGAAAACTCTGCAGCCGGATTTAAGGAAGCTGCCTAAAATGGCACTGCCAGCCCAATTATATGGTAAGTTGAAGATAAACACATGCCTTTGCCCTTTCAACACTGCAGATCCGCTTTACAGGCATTCAACTAGCAGACGTAGTCTGGAGCAAAGAAAACTGTGTGCGATTCCGTGAATTGACGCTGGGTCAAAAGTTTATCGGAATTGTGCGGAGCATGCACAAGCAAAAGGATGAGAGGCGTGTGCTGGGCCTGGAGCTGGTGGATACCTCAACACCGAAGGATATTAAGCTGCACGAGATTCTCATCAACGAGAAGCACGCACAGCCAGAAACGAAGGAAGTCTGAGTTGGAGGAGACGAAACATTTGAATTTGTTCACGTTTATGTTTGCTTAATAATAGTCTTAGGATTAGGGACATGTAACTTATTATGACGACACATTCCGCCAGAAGGATGCGATTATAGCCAATAAACCATCTTTTTTCTATCGAGAAAACGGGTGTACTTGGTTGGCGGACTTAATGTTTGTTTTTACGGCCGATGGCGCCTTTCCCAGCTGCTGCTGTACGTTGCCGGGACTCATTGCAGGGCCACCCATGGGTGATGGGGCACGTATCGATGGCGGTACCATCATTCCCGGTCCAGGAACGTAGTTGGTTAGCTTTAAGCCCTTTCCCATGCCGACTGCGGCCACCAGTAGTTGGGTGTCGGCCATGCTGCTCGTCTGCTGGATGCCGGTGCGGGATGAACTTTCTATCTCCCACTCCTCACGCGCCTTGCTAACCATGTCCAGGACGTGGGAGACGACCTTGTTGTATTGGGTGACTTGCTTCATGGCAGCATCGTTTGTTAAGTTGGCCGCCTTTTGGTCGTTCTGCAGCATCTTTTGCTCTGTAATCGGATCCGGGCGAGTTCTCAGATAGTCTGGAACAATGTCATGCGAAAAGACCGGCACACGACCCTCTGTGATGTTGATAAGGGTCTCATCCCGGTCCATGGAAACCAGCAGGGGAAGTACGGTTCGATTCCTAAGCGGTGGACACTGCTCCTTGGCCAGGATCTTGGTCAGTCCGGTGAGGTGGCTAGATATTATAGCAAAGTTGTCGAGGAACGTTGGCCAGTTGATTGTTTCGTACTCCATCTCTAGTTTCTGGATCATGGAGAGCACAGCCAGCTTAAGGTCGTTCAGGCGCTGCAGGACCGTTTCAAGCGTCAGCTCGAACAGTTTCTCGTCGCGCTGCATTTTAAATAGTTTTGATTTAACAATTTAATGAAAATTGCATTTCTTTTTTTGACAACGGCCAGTGTGGCCATGCGCCAGGCAGACCGCTCCGTTGTGAGCGTGTAGTATTTAATGTTTGTTAAATTTAACATGCATTAGTATAATTCAGCATTTGCTTAGTATTTTCTGCTACCTTTTATGGCATTAGGGTCCTACGGTCTTACCAACATGGCCGTCGAGAAAAACTGAACGCATCGCCGTGTTTTCCATTTGCCAATAAAACACTAAGACCACAAAATCTCGAAAAGCGTGCACAAAAACGTCGTCAAATGTAAGCAAACTAGTCTAGTGCCTGTTTTACATCGTTTACATAATCGCCAGAGCCTAAAATCGGAATTTAGTTGCTGTCGTCGGGAGTCCCGTCTCTCTTTGTCTAACTCTCTCTGTCTCGCTCTCGCTCTGAATTCCTCTCTCGTGCTGACAAGGCAAATATATTGGTGTTGGTGTGAGTGAGTGTGTATGTGCCTAAAACGAAAATATTAGAAATGATGGAAAATACGTATGTGAAAAAATATACGCGCAAGCCGGTTGTAGATCGGCTCTCACGATCGATTTGGTTGGGGCCTTTAGGTCCTCACCACCTCGCGACGCGACATGGGTTAAATGTCAACCGGAACAACTCTCTTTCCCCTCTGCGTTTTCAGCTCTCTCCGCCCTATCTCATACTCTCTCTGCGCTCTTGATATTGTTGATGTTGTTGTTTTCAGTTGGTCATTTTAATGCTCTCTTACATGTTTCTATATTCAATTGTAATATATTTCCAGCTTGTTGTGTATGTTTTTTGAAATGGTAAAGTGTGTTGTCGCGTTCGCCAAACCGTTGCCCAAACCCTAACCGTTGGGGTAATAAAAACTGAAAACCTATATATATCGCTTGAGCCAGGCAATAAATAAACGTGCGCGATATACACAACATATATATTTGCCTGAGCGAGAAAAATCCGAAATCCCGCGATGGCGTCGCGCAGGCGCGCCGAACTGAATCCCAAACTGCACATGGACAGGCAGCCGACAGCTGCCCGAATAACAGGTACCTGAACTGAAACTTCTACCAACTACCAGCAGCAACTAGATGTGGGAAAAACCCAAGCCTCGCCGGGATTAGCGATGTCTGGAGAGACCCTCCATAATACATATATAAATATATAAAGGGCTTCCCGGAACGACAATTACCCACCACCCACCGCCTAATTCCCAGTCAACCGAAGCTGACATTTTACCTCTCGAACTTGCAGATCCCTCATTACCCGCTGGCAAGCGACGCGAGATCGACAACGTGATGAAGAAGGCGCGCGCTAACACCACCAACGATTACTGGGACAAAAAGTTAATAGAAGCGGAGGAAAAGGATCCAAATCGATGGCGACACACGGGGTACAAGAAGATGTACATTCAGGGCGAGAGTAGCTCTGGCGAAAGTGAACGCGACGGTCGCGAAGGTCGTGAGGGTGGAGCACCGCCCTACGGTCGTTACCCTCCCACAGGCGGACCACCTCCCGGTCAACCCTCCCAGCGATACGGCCGTTCTCGTTCGCCCCATTCGCGCAGTCGGTCGCGTATGCGCAAATCGCCCCCGCTTTCTCCACCTCCGCGTCGACGCTCACCTCCGATGTCCATGCACGGTGGCATGGATAGACGTGGCGGACCGCGCTCACCGCCCATGCCGCGATCCCCGAACAACAGCCATGACTCTCTCATGCGTCGACCCGGAAATGGCCACGGCGGACGGCCACGATCTCCGCCGGAACCCAGTAGTGGCTCGTCCTCGTCGTTGAGACGAAAGCCAAACGCGTCACGTTCACCGCTCAGCCGTCGACGGTCGCCTCCGCTTCCGCCACCCTCGTCGTCGGGAATGGATAAGCGCGGCCCGGTTGCCCACATCCTGCCGCGTTCCAAGCGCCCGCCTTCGCCACCGCCAAGGGTTAGTATTCAACATAATTGTTACACATTTTACATATTCTGAAGCAACAATAACATATTTAACTTTTTTTCCAATATTGTCAGCACTCGATACGATCGCGTTCAAACAGCTCGATGAGCAGCAGCTCCGATGATTCCTGCTCCCTTTGTTCACCCAGCCATCGTCATAGATCTCGGTAAATTAAAATTGATTTCCGATGTTTCTGACCCCATTAACAAATTTCCATTATTGTAGATCCCGCGGTCCGCGTTCACCGCCACCCAAGCCACGTGGCCATTATCGTTCAGGGGCGCCGCCGCCTCCTCCGTCGGAGTCACATGGCCGGATCCATGGTCGCCCTAGCACTCCACCACCCGTGCGCGGAGGTGGAGGCAGTTCGGTATCCGCCATGGAGAAGTACCGCCAAGCGAAGTTACGTCACATGGGCCATGATCGCGTTTCCTCGTCGGAGGCCCATATGAAGATCCCGAGATCTTCACGCCACTCGCCTCCGCCGGAAGACCCGCGTCTTAAGCATCGTCCGCCAGAGCCACCAGAGCCGGCATCGGCTCCAACTGGAGCTCCGGCAGCACAGGCTAAAAAGAAGAAAAAGGAGAAGGAGGTGAGTGCTTTCCTAAGAATGATATTTTATACAACTTTGTCCTTATCCAATCAAATCTAATTCAAATTCAAATCTCTACCAACAGATGCGACCACGCATTAAAATTGAAGGTGAGAAACGCAAAAAGCATCCGAGCGGGACGACCAGTGGCACCGGAGCTAACGCGGCGAACTCCTCCTCGGACTCGGACGATTCGAACGGCTCGGACAGCGATGAAGTCGGCACGTTGCCCACATTCTCGGCTACTACGCGGCTAACGCTCTCGGAGCGATTTGGCAAAATGGCGCAGTGGAGCATTGATCGCAGCAACATGGAGAATATGCGCATCACCAAAGACTCCGCCGGTGGGGCCCTCAAAGTGATGATTGAAGAGGGCCTTGAGTCGCCGCCGCGTCGCTATTCGTATTCGCCGGCACCGGCCGGGCACTTTCCGGAGGAGTTGGCCACAACAGCACCGTCGGGAATGCTGTCGTGGGACGATGTGCGCGTCCGTTACGAGTACTACAAGAGTCGTGGTTATCTAAGGGACTTGGACCTTAAGGTTGGTGTTGATTTTACTGAAAGTTAACAGCATATACTAAAATGTATTAATATACTTGCAGGACTATATCAAGTGGGAGGAGTGGTGGTATAAATATCAGGAGTGGTTGAAACAGGAACGCTACTATGAGTACTGGGATCGCAGTCAGCAATTGCGTAGACGACGCAAGAAGCTGCCGGTCACTCAGCGCTTAAACTGAGAGCCACCCGCATCTCAATCATCTCATTAAATCTCCCACTTCCCCCTATCCCAATTCAGTTCATTTATTTTACCTACTTCCCCCCTTTACGTTGTATCTTAATCATGCTCACATCCCATCACCCTCTTTTGTACATTAAAAATGTATGAAACCGCATTTGTCAGCTTATATTTTGATAACTAATTACAATTACAAGCCAAGCACTCGGAGTTAGTTGGCTGTTGGTCCCTGACACCCTGCTTCCGGCGTAGGGTTTTCATTAACACTAAACTTTGTAAGTTTTTTTGAGTAAATGTTGTTCAGTGCAACTTACTCAGATATTTGTAAACGCATTAAATAACAGTCAGTATAAAAACGTATGGCTTTTAATGGGGCTTTCAAGTTGGCGAATAATCTTAAGAAATTACATATAACCTGATTTTACATTGCTTAATTACATATACTTTACATTTATTTATACATTTTATTCTGTTTTTACATTCCGAAATTTTACACTAAAGCGTTTAAGCGCCATCTACCGAACTTTTTACGAAACTGTATGTGAGCTTTTCAAGGTCAGATATTTTTGAATAAATAAACTCCCAAAAGATGTCTTAAGGACGTCTAACGAAAATCACAGGAAATGAGGCAAAAAGGTGGGACACACAACCCCCATCCGTCTCGATGTCAATACTGTGATGTGCACGCAGCGTTTATTTGACGGCATATAAATTGAAAAATTCACATAAAAATGTGTAATTATTTGGCATATTTTCAATTTGCACAAAGGCGAAAAAGGGGAACAGCCGGCTGAAGGTGACACGCACATGGATGGTGGTGGGAAATCCGTGCTCCAGCTTTTGCTCTTGCTCCTGGGCGTGATTTCCGTGCACAAATTAGCACTTTTTCGCTGGGGTTTTCCGAGGGTGGCTGATAATCAGATTATGCCCGGTGCACAGGGGATGCTAATGTGTCGATATCGAGCTTCTGCCTTGCTAATTGCGGTTGAGTGGGGCACAGTCAAGGAGCGGGGGCTCCATGGATTAGCCATTGAAGCGGACTTTAATCCATCTTGAACCTTAAGGGCAGTTCACGCTCACCCCTTCACCCCAATTATTGGCGCCCAACCCCAGTCCCGGGGGCCTCCGTGTCCTGGCACAATTAAGCTCTAAATAACAACAGCGTTAAGAAGGCTTTAAGGCCCGATTTGGCCCCTGGCACCCAGCCCTCGGCTTGCACCAGAACCCTTCAGAAGAACTCGAGGAAAAGTCACGTCTAATTACACACATCTTGGAGCAGCTTTTTGACCTGGTTGACTTGGCTGTTGGTGGTCGGACGGTTTTACCAAATTGGTTTTAAAAGCCACAGGGGGTGAGGCGTTGAGAGCGCGTGAGAACGTGAGCAATTATTACGACGTAGTGGAGGAGGATTCAAGGAGTCGGGGTGGGACACTGGGACTGGGGCTATAATCCCTTTATAATCCACACAATGCTATTATATGCTAAAAATGACAAATAAGTGTCACGAAGAAATACAACAAATTGTCCCGCAGGATGGAGACTGACAGTCGTCTGACAGACGTCCTCCGGCAAGCAAAACGCCTAAAAAAGACAAGTTTGGATCTTTTGACTGAATTTTCACTCGGAAAATGATATATAGAAAAAATAAACCCATATCTATAAATGATTTAATGGAAATCTATTTTAGATATAAGAATTTGAGGGTTAAAATTGGTGAATATTTCATATTAATTTGACTAATTTATAAACCGAACAATATTTCTTAAGCAAAACAAGCATCAATGTCGTGACTTTTTTGAAGAGTGTG